AACAGCCACACAACCGGCACAACGGCGGCGCCTCAGTCCCGAGCCACAGGTGCCGAGGGCCCTGATATGGCGGGGACGGGACGGTTCCCCGCAGGTGCCGAGGGCCCTGACACGGGGGGCCGCACCCAGAAGGCCCGAGTGCCGGATGACTGGCAGCACACCGCAACGCCAAGGGACACTCCCAGGAAGCAGCCGATCCCACTTCCGGCGCCCAACATCATCAAGCAGGACCCGGTGGTTTTCCACAAGAGCTCGGTGGGGCTGAATGAAGGGGGCCAACGCCTTTCAGCTACCCCCCTGACAAGTCCAACGGAGCCGTCACCGGGATTGGACATCTTCCCGTGGATGGAGAACATCCCTGAGCGTCTGGTACAGCGGCTGAGATGGACACAGGGCACATCGCCCAAAGTTCCATCCAGTGGGCCCATCATTGTCCTGCTCTATGCAGGCAAGGAAGACCCAACTTCCTTGGACAGCTGTCTTCATGCCAACTACCCACACCTTTCCAGCATGGTGGTGGCGGTAGACATCCTACGGTCTGGACCCAAAGGGGACCACGATATGCTCCAACCCGAGCTGTATGGAGCTCTTTGCACGGCAGCAAAGCAGGGCCGAGTGGTCTTCATTGGAGGAGGACCCAACTGCAGGACATGGTCCATCCTGCGCCACATACCAAAACCGGGGGCTCCCACCCCGGTGCGAGGGCGCACTCCAGAGACACTTTGGGGCCTTCCACACCTGGACCAGGCCGCCCAGACTCAACTTGATGATGACAGCATCCTCATTCTGAGACAGATGTACATCACCAGCCTGGCAAGGGCCTCACGAGCGGCGGTTTCTCTGCCAGGGCCCAGGTCCTTCCTGGAACACCCGGAGGACCCAGTGGTGAGCAGCTCGCTGCCCAAAGCCAAGGAATGCTCATCCTTCTGGATCACAGAGGAGGGGCAGCTTTGGATGGAGGAGAACTCCTTGACAGCAATCTCCTTCGACCAGTGCCGCCTGGGCCAGCTGGTCAAGAAGGCCACTACGCTGGCCACGGATCTCCCGATCCAGGACTGGGATCAAATGCGGTGCACGCATCAGTCACATGTGGGCACCAACGAGTCCTCGACTCTTAGCAGATACCCTTGGGATATGATGGCAGGCCTGGCCAAAGCCATCGCTGTGTCACTCGCAGCGCCGGGGCACATCCGGATCCCCTCACAATTTCCGGGAAACCCCAAGGAACCACCTAAGGGGCGGGGGTCGGACCCCCCGGAAGGCCATTCCCCCCGGGGAAAACGGGGGCCCAGTCAAGGAGGCGGTCCCTCCTCATCACACCAGGGCTCAAAGCCCGGAGGCAAGAACGCCCCGAAGCCCCGCCTGCACGGGCAGTTCCACCCTGAGGCAGACACCGTAAGCCCTCGTGGAACAATGAACCCAGACTTCCCATCTCCCATGCCCCCGATGGCCGGAGATGCGGAACAACTGGGGAAGGAGGGACAGGGGGACCAGGTCCTGGACCGCCCCGAATGCCTGCCCGCTTTCAGGGTCCCACACCTCACTGACCGGGTGGCGATTGTCCAATTGGGTTTCCGCTCACGCCCCCTGAGGGATGGGGGGGGAAAACCTTCCCCAGGGAGGCTCAACCCCCCTTTTCGGAGAATTTCCCCATTGGCTACTTTGGGCGCCCTGATCATGACCCTTACCCGGCCCTGGATTGACAAGGTCCGAATGTCCCTGGCATCAGGTGCCACCACACACCCCTTCCAGGAAGCCGACCTCGAGGAGCTGCGGGCCGAGGCACCTCCATGAACGATGCCCAGGACAACCCTTCCTCCTGGCCTTAGTGTCGCACTTGGCATCCCTTTCAGGTGACCCTGATTGGGAGTTCCCCCTAACACTGAAAGAGGGGGTCCTCTTGGGAGTCTCGGACCCTACCTTGACCTCCCCGGGAGTTTGGCCCACTAAGGAGGAGCTTAAGGGAGAAGCCTGGCTGGGGGAAGATCCCCCCCCGCCAGTGGCTCATGATAACTACCCAACGGCTGAACTCTTTGCCAAGGAAATCGAATCAACCTTTTACGAGGAACGAGCCTTGGACATGGTGGACGGGCCCTTCACTCGCTCCGAGGCGGCAGAGAGGTGCCGCTGCAAACCGGAGGAACTTTGCCCGGGCCCCCTTGCAGGGATTGATGAGTCGGACAAGATCAGGACGATCTATGATGGCTCAAAAGGGGGAGCAAACGCACACATCCAGGCTCACACGGAGGAGAAGACCACCGCACCGATGGTTGGAGACTGCCTCCATGCCATCCACTGGCTCAGGACAGCGGCGGACCATCCTCATCTACTCCGAGCCCCATCCTCGGGCACTGATGAGGAACCTCGGGATGTTCACCAGCCGGTGCAGGGGCAGTCCCCAGGTGCCGAGGGCCCTGAGACGGACCCCCACAGCACCAGCCTGCCCCCAGGTGCCGAGGGCCCTGGTAGGGGCAGGCGGATGATGGAGACCTCCGGCGGCCTGGACGTCTCTCCGCAGGGAAGGGGCCACTCCCAGGTGCCGAGGGCCCTGATAGGAGGGCCCCATTCCCCCCAACCCCCCCAGGCACGGAACGCCCTGGGGGGAGCAGGGGGGAACCCCTGACGTGGCAGCCGCCGACACAGGGGGAAACCTTCATCATCCTCAAGGCGGATGTCACCAAGGCCCACAGGCGCATAAAAGTGCTCCAGAAAGACTGGAAATACCAGGTGGCCTGCATCCAGAACCGGTGGTGGGTCAATAGAGTGGGCACGTACGGCATGGCCTCGGCACAACTGTACTGGGGAAGAAAGGCATCCTTGGTGCTCAGACTCTTGTACTACATCTTCCCTCAGGTGGACTGGCACTTAGTTTTTGTGGACGACTACTGCTGGGTCCTCAGATGCAGCAGGGCGGACTGGGACGCCACAGCCATCCTGGCCACTCTTCTGGCGCTGGGAGTCCCGCTTTCTTGGAAGAAGACGGCGCTCTCCCCGGTCAATACCTGGTTGGGATTCGTGGTGGACCCAATCACGCCCTGTGTGCTGCTGGCTCCAGTCAAGCACGTCATAATCCTGGCCACTCTCAAACGGCTGGCCCAGGGGGACATCTTTACCAGCAAGGAGGTGGAACAAGCCCTGGGCCGGATTCAATGGGCTACTTCGGCGTGTCCATTGACGAAACCTTTCCTCCAGCCCTTTTGGAGCTGGAAGAAGGCCTGCACCACTTCGGGCAGGCCACCGAAGCTGGTTCGTGCTCTGGCCATCCTTCTGGGGAAGCTCTTCAACCAGAGGTTCCCACTGGCATCTCCATTTGCTCCCACACTTCCATGGACGGGGGCATCTGATGCGGGAGCTGGCAAACAGGCGGACCATGCATGGGTTGGTGGTTGGTGCTCGGACGTGCCCAACCCCGACAAGTCCCGAGTGAAGTGGTTCCAACACAGAATCACACCGGAGGGCGAGCCGTGGGCCTTCACTACTGGGGACCCGCAGCGGGCGATAGCGGCCTTGGAGCTCTTCGGCCTCCTCCTTTTGGTGAGGGCTGTTCTGCTTTGTGCAGCCGGCTCGGCTTCTCACACTAGGATTCTGGTTGCTAGTGATAACCAGGGAAACGTTTTCTCCCTGCTTAACGATTCCACTCGCAGGATGCCCAATGCGGCCATCCTCATGGAAATTGTGTTAACACTGCATGACCACCAGGTCATGTTAGGACCGTCGCATGTGAAGCGCGACTTTAACACATGGGCGGATGAACTTACTCATCCGGACCCGCAATTTCCGACTGAGAACCGGGTCTTCCCCTCAGTCGAAAGCGAATTGATCAAGCTGATCTTCGCTACTTTCCTTCCTCACCCATGATGCCGGGAGGGCATCCGGTGAGGTGGGAGGATTCCTCCCTCGCTGTGGGAGTGGCATCAATTCTACTCCCATCAGCTGCTGAGGGGAGCTGCCCAGTGGAGCTGGGCAATCCTCCCATTTTGGCACTAATCCTTATGCGGCGTAAAGGATGCACCGTTTCGCGATTAAGGTACCAGTAGCACCAATGTGGTGCTTTGAAGAGTCATTTGTTTATTTATTTATTTATTTATTTATTTATTTATTTATTTATTTTTTTAGTTATTTTTGGTTGTTTATTGATTTATTTACTTATGATTGTTGGGGGGATGTGGATATGTGTTATTTATATATACATATATTTTGTATTCATGTATTTATATATATTTATTGTTATTTATTTGTTATGTATTATTAATCTATCCATTGTTCATCCATTTATTTATTTGTTTATTTTGGGGGGAACCCACAACACGGGTTGTTTTCTTTCCTTTTGGTTCCCCTGCGGAAAAAAAACTGAACCGAAAGACACACCCAAATGGCCAATCGCTGAGATTAGCAAACATGGATGTTGCCATTCAACGCGTCTCACAGATGGGTTATACGGGTTTATTTTGTCAAGCGGCCAGTTTCTTTGCGTTTTTGCCAGTCAAATTTGCCAGCCAAATTCAGCGATCCCTCCCAATCCTCTCTTGGTGGTCAGTGAATTGCTGATCAAGTGACCTACCACAACAGGCCTTTTGCACGTTCATTGAAATAATGTGCTCAGCAATGAAGGAAAGTTGGTGAATCTGGCACAGGGTAAGGATACATCTTACCTGTGAAGCAACCACATGTCATTTCCAAGAGGTGTTTTTCCCAAATTTTGGGTTCTTTGCATGTCCTCGTGACAAACATGTCGAGTGAAAAGTGGTTAGACCATGAGACTCGAATGGCCGCCTTTGCTGAGTTGTTCTCGAACTTTGGAGGTTCCAGGTGCGGAAAACTTGTATTTGTGAGCCTGTTTGACACATCAAAGGACCAACGAACCCCAGAACTTGGCGGTGTTTGTCTGTCCCATTTTTTTGAGGAGTTCCAAAAGCTCACTTTTGGTCATTGCTTAATTTTCCTACGGGCATCCAGCCTGGTGTTTCAACCGGATTTTTGCAGAACATCTGGATCCGCAGGTGGTGGTCTACTCCCCCTGCACGGCTCAGCAGTTGGAGTCCGTGGACCTGGTGCTACGTGGGGAGGCGTTGGACAGCACGGTCACAAAAGCTGATTTCCGTTTTTCGAGCTGACGCACCTTCCTCACATGTCACGTTGGATCACGACTTTCTGATGCTTACCTGCAGGATTCATCGATTTCAACCTCTCACTTCTTGCGTCCCAACTACTTTCTGATGGTTACAGTGGGAATTCATCCTTTCGGTCGCTCTTTGGTGACCTTTTTGGTCGCTTTGCGGTTGCCTGAGCTCCACTGTTCTTCCTCTTTCACAGTTTGTTCTCCTTTCACCGCCCTTTCATCGCCCTGAAATTCTCCTTTTGATCACCTTTAGGTCACTTTTTGGGGTTTTGACTTTGAGGCCTTTCCGATTCTTAAATTTGCTCTTCCACAGGCTAGCAAATTCTAGACTTGTTTGGCTTCTGATGAGTTTCTCAGAACATATTTATATGTCAAACTACAAGTGTCCAGCCTTGCGGCAACCCTTTGTTCTCACAATTCCTAGACATGAGGCGAACATGGTTGAACCGTGCTGCGGGCATTGGTCTCTCTTACACAACCGACGTTTTGCCCGGATCGTTCAATCTCATGTCTCAATCCTAATGCCGGATGACAGTAGCCTTCTTGCAGTGCCCAATACGGATTACGGATCGGGATGAGGGATCCCAAAATGAGCTCAGTTTCGTTTTCCAGGAGTTCGCCTTTGGATCTGAGATATTTTCCCTTACAATAGAGGCTTGCCTGGATCCTGTGGGCTCAGTTTAAGCCTCATTGGGCTGGCAAAATCCTCCGGTTTTTCTCGTTGTTTTTTGTTTTTTTGTTTGCGGCATTTTTGGTGCCAGGTGGCCTATCTTGTGGGTTCCACACTATCCGACTGTCCTCAGACTCATTCCCAATGGGCTGGCAGAATAATGTTCTTCGGTCCTTCTCGGGTTTTGTGGTGATTTCGGGTGCCTGTGGAGGTTCTTCTCGGTTTTTTTTGGCCTTGACTGCTAGTTGGGTTGGATCTTTAGACTTCAACTTTTTGGGGAAATCAAGGGGTTGTCCACTAAACCCACCAAAAGGTAAAAAGGTAAGCACTTTTTGCAGAGGGGGCGTTGCCGCAAGTTTTCTCGGGTTTTTTAATGGTGATTTTGGGTGCCTGTGCAGCCTTTTCCCGGGTTTTAAATGGTATTCTAGGGTGCCTGGCGGCGGTTTTTCTCGGGTTTTCAGGTGGCCTGGGAGCCCAACAGCACGCGGAACCTGAAGCTGGGGGACGGGAGGCCGAGTCCGCTGCAGCCCTACAGCGCCCCATGGCTGCTGGAGGGCATGGGCGTCGGCTCGCGGGTGGTCACCACCAAGGGCAACCTCAAGAGGAGCCGCCGGGAGACGGAGAAGTCAGGGGACATGGAACTGAGTCCTGAGGTTGAACGAATTTCTACGGAGGGTGTGGAAGATGTGGGGAATTGATGTCCCTTTTCAGGTTGGAAGGGAGAACCAGGGAAACCGCCAATTCTTGAGGTCCCCTCAACACAAAACCCGCACGCAAGGAATGCCGTTTTTTTTGGGGGGGGGTTAGGGACCCCACAAAACCGGTGAACCTTGTGAGGAGTTCCCGCTTTGTGGGTCTGAAGGATGCCGCTTTGGACCCAGTTTTATAGGTTTTTGGGGGATATAAAGATCACGCTTGTCAGTTTAAGATCATCCCTTTTGGTTTCAAGGGGACATGGCAAAAAGTCACGGGAGAGAGGTGAATGCGGTGGATGCGGTAGATGAATAAAGGCATGCTCAAACCAGTTATGTGCATGTGGGATGTGGACGTCTTTGCTCAGAAACGCCTCCTCACCGCTCCTGGTCTTGTCGGTGCTTTGGAGGTTGCCCGGCACATGAAGACATGGCCTGGCGCAGCTTGATCGCTTCCGCACAGTGACCAAAACCAAAGTCACCTCTGGCCACAGCAGACCGCGAAGGCTAAATGGATTCGATGGCTCTGCTTGAAACATTTGAGGGGATTACAGGGCTTCTACTCTATGCCTGCTCTAGTTCATTTGCTTTATGGCAATGGGCTCTTCAACTATGAGACACTGCCACTTTCTTTGCATTGGAATCGACAGTTGCAAAGGCGAGGACCCTGGAATGACCCTCGAAGCCAAAGGCCAAAAGGGTCATGTTTGCGTATACTTGGAAGGCTTGACGCGCACGTGGGACTATCAACATAGCTGACAAGAGGATAGCTACCAGAGCTTTCGCGGTCCTACACCATGGGCTGCAGGGGGTCGCACTGGCCGCCGTATCCCTTGATTTCCATTTCGCCCGGATCCCAATGAAGGTTTGTGTGGGCTCGAGGGACCGGCCCGATGGAGCGCGGACGGGCCCCCAAACATGTTCACCATTCGGTCAGCCCAAATCACAATCGCCGCATGCCAGGAGGAGGCTGCGCAAGATCTAGTGCGCGCAACCGCAGGAGGAAAAAGCAGTGGCCGTAGGGCATGATGACCACTAACTGTGTGTTTCCTGCCTGAAATCAAGGGCAAATCCAGGGGGAGCTATCACATGAGGTTTTGTCCAAGTCGCCCTTTTCGTCGATTCCTTCCTTCGGCCTTCAAAACGCCTCGCGAGAAAGCCGGCCCAAGCCATATAATGTATATCTCTCCGGCTCGCACGCGCCACATCCGAAGCCGAACGAAGCGGCGGATCGCGGAAGTTCGGATCGCGGCGCGCGGAGCGCCTCAGGTGGAGCAGCAGCTGGTCGCCTCTTCGGAGCTGCTGAGGCTCTTGGCCACCGCTGGGCCGGGCGCTCACCGAGTCGCGAGTCGCGAGCGGAGGCGAAGGTCCCCGGGTGTTTTGGTGGGGTCACGGGAGATCTTGAAAGGAAACCACCCTATGTGGAGAAACTCTGCATGGATTCATGAGAGAGCTGGATGCGACTCTGACCCTGGCTCAATGAATTGAGGAACTTGGGGCGTGCGAGAAGAAAGATGCCAAAGGTCCTTCACAGTTTCAAGGGAGATCAGCCGCGGCCGAAAGGGGGGCTCCGTCCCCGCTCCCTGGTTGAATCATTCACTGCGGAAAAGGAACCCAAGAACGAGCAAGAAACATGTTCGCCGCACAGAACCAGTGGTTACAACAAGGTTCATGCCGATCAACCTTCTCCGATTTGTCAGAGTATGCATTTGCCATGCTAGACTGAATGGTGTCGCGGTTTGCATGACTCGCATGATGATGTTAAAGATACTGAAGTATGTAGGTTCGTATACAAAACCGTTCGCGGGATTCTGGTCTCGGCAGACAATCACATTTCAATGAGCGACCTCCGCAAGTCAAAGCAAGTCAATCAAACACATTAGGACAACTAAAACGACTAAAAGCCACAAAAACACTGGGCTTGTTTGTTTCTGTTCCATAAAATAACAAAATAACCAGTGTTTTGTTGTTTGTTTGCAGACTTGGCACCAGAGAACAAAACAGAAACACTGGGTGTTGTTGCTACTCTGCTGCCAAAAACAACAATAACAAAAAAAACACGACCGAGTGAACACCAAAGAAACAAAAGCTTCCAGGAAAGATGAAAACAAGTGTTGGGTTGAAAATACATGTTGAATATATGTTTGACGAGGAGAGCATATGATTTGTGTATGTGCATATATATATATATATATATATGTACGCTATTCAGAATCTGAATTGCTTTCCAGTCAGTGATGTTCATGTTAAAGGGCTCCAGTTGAATTTGATAACTGATAAGGAAAGAGTTTCACCATAATTTCAATTTGCACTTATAATTTGAATGAGATGGTTTCCCAATAGGAATCGGAATAAGCTTAATCATAATACGAGTCGAATGTAACAATGGTGGTATCTATTATATTTGTTGATTGTCAACTAGAACGGAGTTGATTCAAATTTCCAGATGGGGGGGTGCTCAGTATATATACATGTATGTACACATGCACACACACACACACACGTGTATGTTTGAACAATACTCTCATGCACACATGCAAAGATGCACATAGAGTTGTACTTCCATTTGGTTAAGAATATTTTATTATCTTCCCTTGTTGGTTTTAAAGGGAATCTATCACTACTGGAAATAGTTTTCTTGTTTTTTTTTGTGTGTTTTTTTTCCAGGGGACTTAAGCAAATGGAGTTGTAGGACGCTTCGGCTCCTTTTTCCTCCTGGGAGTGAGCCGCGCTTAGTCTGAGGCTTCTAGCCTCAGCGCTGGCCAAAGCCACGTCCGAGAAGGCGCAGCATGTTTCGACTTTCGACCCGGCCGTGGCGGAAAAAATGGTTCTACAGGTCGTAGGCCGGGAGCCTATGGTTGAAGGATTATACTGATTGATTGACAACATACTGATTGACAAAAGCCTATGGTTAAAGGAACATACTGATTGATTGACAACATACTGATTGACAATTGCCAGTTGAAGGAACATCTTCCCAGATGCGATTTGTTTGGCGTAAAGCCCGCTGAATGGATAGCCAGCGGCTTCACTTGCCAGCAACACGTCCAAAGATTCTGGAGCACGGGAATCCTGTGGCTGTTGGAATGTGCAAAATACGCAGCCGAATGTATTGTTGAGGAGATAAGGGCCAAGAACGGGCCAGGGCCATGAACGGTGCAGAAACCAGTGCCCCCGTTCAACTTTTGTGTGGTTATTCCCCTAAAAGAAGCAGGCTCCCGCTAGAATAGGTAACCAAGGGGAACTACAATTTGCAAGCTAAAGGAATAGCCCTGGTTACTTAAAACAGTACCCGCTATTTGGTGGTTTGGATTGGTGGTGTTTTGGTTCTTGTAGAGGGTGGATGCGGTTTACCACCCCCCTAACCAAACCACCGGGCTCCAACCCAAGAACCACAGGGAAACTGATCAACCAAGGGGAAAAACACGATTTGAAAGCTCAAAGGAGTATCCCTGGTGTTTTTTTTTAGCATTTGGAGGACAAGAACCGAGGGCCTGGCCTGCATGCTGATACCTCCCCGACAGGTGGCCACTGTGCTGAAGCAGTCGGATTCGGGCAGGAAGTTGCCAGCCTGCGCCTCGAGGGGACGTCCTTGCTGAAATGAAGATGTTTTTCATGTTCTTCTGGTTTTAAATGTGTGTTTCATCTTCTCCTAGTTGTAAAAAGGGATTCTATCGCCACTGGAAATATGTTCTTAGTTATTTTCCAGGGGACTCAAGCAAGGGAGGGTGAGAAACAGTTTGATTTCCGAGTTTCCTTTTGACATGATCAAGTTTTGGGGAGTTTAGCTGGTTTCCATCATCTTGGCATGTATTTGGTTGGATCTTCAACCTTGCCTTGCAAGAGTATAGCCACAAAGTCATTGTGAGCGTGCCGATGTCCTTTAAACACATGAGTAAAGATGAGGTTGAATTGGTCTTGCCACCGGTTTTCTAGTCGTGAAGTCTTGTCATATCTTGTCATAGTCTGAGGCTCCTAGACTCAGCCATTCCTGCTTCATTTGTTCGTGAGCGCTTTCGCCGGTTGCTGTATGACCCTCCCTTGAATTCTGCTTCCCCCCTATCGCCCCTGATGTTGGATGAGTTTTGCAGGAAGTGGGGGCATTCTTGTTCCAGAGCGTAGGGCTAATCCGTCCTTTTTTTGGCCGATGGCTGGCTGTCGCGCACTGGGCAACAGAAGGCACTCCAGGCTTTCCCTTTGAGGGTAGGGACTTTTCGTGGACACCACCTTTCTTTCGGATCCAGCGCTGTCGATGTTGATCGGCCTGTGCTGCACTCCGTATTCCGCGGCTTCATGTTGGCACAACTTTTCGTGACCAGCTGTTGAGCGCCGAGGCCTGGGTCATTGCTCGGTGCATTGCTGGCCTTGCCGTGGCTGTGCCAGCCGGATACCCAGAGATTGACAAGGAGGGATATGATGAAGTCGAGGGAAGAGCGCACAAGCCAACCATGGGAGTACCGGAGCCATTCTGGTAGATTGCCTGACCAGCTTTGATCTTTTGCGGAGATCGCGCTCCCTGGGCGAGAGCCAAATGGTCGAGTTTTTCTGCTCAACTACTTTCAGGGGTGCTGAAATGTCGATTTGCTTGGAATAGTCTCCAACTCTGCTTGGTTGCGGTGGGGCTGAAGAGCTGATCTAACTCTATACAGCGCACCTTCCGCCGAACTGAGCCAAGCGCATGGAACCGTTCCCCACCGGTCCTCAGCCCGGCATATGGAAGTTGTTGTCCACTGCACGACAAGTTGACACATAGCCCCTGTTACATGGCTCAGGCTGTATTTCGAAGCTGGTGGCGATGGTAACACACCTTACATTCTCCGCTCTCGCTGCGGACAGCGGCACACGCCCAAGCCGTACAGCGTGAGCACGCCTTGCCCAGAGGGTCCAAGTGCCTGCTCTGGATGGAAATTAAAGGCAACACGAGTTTCGGGAACATCTGACACATCCTGAGGAAGTGCCAAGGGACTACTCGCATCTTTGTGGCTGAAATGCTGGGGATGGGTCGAGGGCATGCGTGGGATAGGACACACACACACACACACAATTCCTTGGGCTGGTTCGCGGACGGTCGGTATTAGTCGGTTGGCATTAGTTGGTCTGTGCCAGTCGGTCGGCTGGTCGCTCGGGCAGTTGGTGGGTCCATCGGTTGGTTGGTCAGTCGGCCGGTATGCGGTCATGCAATTGGTCGGCAGGTCAGTCTGTCGGTTGGTGGGTGGGGAGTTTAATGGACCTGTTTTCCGTGTCTTTGATCTGGAATGACCCTTATAAACCATCCCTGGTGTTTCCTTGATTCGGGAATCCCTCTGTTCATTCCCTCATTCCCTGCCTCGCGCAGCAAGTCTTTGCTCTGAGGCAAAGTATGTGATGCAGGCGCTGGCCCTCTTAGCACGGGCCGCCGCAGCGCGGATTGTGGAGCTCCTTCCCGAGGAGCGCTGAGTGAGCGGAAAACAAACGAGCGAGCAAGCCCCGAGGGACTGAACTCCCGTTGTTTTCCTCTGTCTTTTTGCAAAAGGAACCAGTGGAGTTGAGATCTACCTTGCAGGAAATCAAGCAAATGGAATCCTGAATAGGGCTTGCCGACACTTGCCACAGACTGGTTTTTGGTTGGGATGGGACCCTGTCCAAACAACAAAGATCCATCATGAAACTGTGTTTGGCACACGTTCCAAGGCTTCTTGGAAACCCGGCCTTTCAAGCAGCAAGGACTGGTGTCTTGCATTGAGTGTATACCCCAGAATAGAAACCGGGTTTGCCAACCAATATTTTCTGTATGTTAGTGTAAGTCAGGGGTTGTATTTCGATTTTGTGCACACATCCTCGCTTGCCACACATCCTAGCAGCTACACTTGCACGGTTGAGGGATTGAGGTCTTACAAGCAAATCCGCAGTACCCAGATACTATTTGCCATGAAGCAAGGCGGTTCTACACTTTGGCGCCTCTTTCCACCTTTGAGGGGCCGGAATTTTCGCCTGAACCATCGGCCACGGCTCGGGTTTGGCCCGATGGAGTCGCGCCAGGAGCGTGCGCAGATCTTCTGGAGCCTGAGCTTGCAGGGCTGCTATGAGGCGGGACCCACATCGATCCCGTCCAAATGGCGGGTCAAAACCCTGTGCCCCTGGTGAACATGAATCAAAATAGCTGGCAAATGGATGAATTCATCCAACCCCATAGGTTATGCATGGCCAAATGTCCAACAAGATCAATTTGGTGACTAAACTGCACCAACCTTCACCAACCCACCTCTCGGTTGCGAAAGGCGGCCCTTGTTTTGTTCGTAACCTTCTGTTTCCCCCCCCTTTTTGGTATATCTTTGGTCACGACACGACCACAGCGGTTTCATTGAATGTCCAGGTGCCTCGGGCAAGTGGGACCTTTCTGACACAACAGTTTGGTTCATCCGGCCAAAGATCTGCACCAACTGGCTTGCAGGTTTTAAAAAACCGGTCACGTGCCGAAAGGCTGAACGGTAGCCCTGGCTGCAGCTGGCCCACTGGCTGTTTGTCAGCGCGTGTGTGTTTTTGTGTCTGTGTTTGTCTTGGCGTCTTTCCGGGCAGGAATCTCAGTGCCCTGGTAGCTTATAGTCTTGGCTGGACGGCCTTGATGCAATGATTTCCAGAGCTTAACGACACCACAAGGTCAGTCAGTTTACAACGCCGTTGCATATGCCGCCAGTCGCCGCTGATTGCTTGCAAAAACTGAGGCCATCTTCGATTCAGTGATGGAGCAAACTCCTTGGTGGCCGCCTGAGTTCTGCGCGGTCCGGCGATGCAACAATTTCGGGTATGGCTGGGAAGAAAAGACTAGAACTTGCCAGGACCACCAGTCGGTTCCAAGAGACAGAGAGAGACAAAGGGAGCAAGCCCCGCGCCCAGTAAAAGCCCAAGACCCAAACTCATAGATTCCTGCGAGATTGAGCTCTCCAACGTCCCAGGACCCAGTGGGCCCCAAAGCCGCAGGCGCAAGCGGGCGGAAGCGACGCGCGGAATCGGATGGGGGGGACTCAATTTGGCCACCGGCCATTTTTTGGGGGGTTTGAGGGTTGTACAAGCTGATTGCGGCACGATGCCAATGGTTTGAAAAGAAAAAGACATGGCGTTGCTGTTTATGGTTTCAACATGCCTGCTCGCACTTGCTTAGGTAGATGTGCCATTACGTGCCCTCTGTGTTTGTTACATGGTAGCTATCCTTCATGCAAGACCTGGTTGCCTTGGGCTGGTTGGAACAGTCATATTCCTCAGTTCAACAGTGGCGTTGAACCTAGTTGCCACATTGCAATCATAAACCGCTTTGGGTGATGTTCGTTCCAAACGGTTCACTTGACCAGCGGCATGGGTTTTAAGCAGAGGCAATACCGCACCGCAAGAGTAGCGGAGAGCTGGGACTCTTCTGTTTGTCACATGCTGACTTAGAGCCATAGCAAGGCAAGCCATTGCAACCATGGCTTTTGATGATCCTGAAAGGGCCTCACCTATTCTCCGATAAGCCACACCCAACAAGGAAAGCCCAGTGGGAACCTCCCCAAGCACCTACGTCCATAGTGAGTTATCGTGCTGGAGGGTTTCTCATTTCTCAAAGGTAAGATCTAGGTGTGTGTGTGTGTGTGCCGGCCATCTCTCAGATGCCATGGCTCCGGTTGGTGCCCAAAAGGGTCAAGCTTGACGTTAACTCCGTGGAGACGAGGGTGGCTCTTCCGAAACTGGTCTTTTTGATTGCGAATCTCCAGCATCTTAGGCTTGATCTCTGAGGTTCCTTGCGTATACCTGGTGCCACAGTGGTGTGACGTTAGCCTGAACCACCAGCTGCAAAAGGCCTTTTAGCAGAGATGCACAGGCTTGAACCAGAAAGCAGCTGTTTCCTCTTGGATCCGTTCCCATGGTATAGGACATCGATGGGCAAACAAGGAAACCAAACAAATGCCCGGGATGTGAGTGCAAGAAGAAATTCCCAAGGACACTGTCGGGATGCTGAAAGGAAAACAACAAAAGGCAAAAGGGAAAACGAAACATCAACCTTATAAAGCCAAGTGAAATGAATCAACTGCAGCAAGGCAGAAATACATCAAAGGAACAACATCAAGAATCCCAAACAAAGAGAGCCCGGTTATTGGGACTTGTTTCCTGACCTTAGCCATTTGTGCAAAGTTCAGAACACCTGACTTGGGTGGTAGGCATGGCTTTCCACAACCTGAAGAGTTCGTTCAGGAACCTATGACAACATCACTCACAAATGGCGGAGCTGCCACCACTGCACTTGCGTGTGCTTCCCAACTTGGGAACCCTCACAAGGGTCGAACATGTCTCCCAAAGGGGCAGTGAACTTCAGGCAATGCCATGTAATTCATTTGCCCAAGAGTGAGTCCAAATTGCTTGGTTTCCCCTTGGATTCCCTTTGACGCTAGAGCCAAACCGCAGGAAAGTAGGAATAGGGCCTTTAGAAAAGGTAAGGTCTGCTGCGGGCTTCTTTTCAATCCCATCCCGGGGTGGTGAACCCATTTGAGTGTGTCTTTTTAAATGGAGGTCAAAGGCCAACCCCTAAGACAAACCCTTCAAAGCACATCACCTTCAGGTGTCCCGGAATTGAGACCTAAAGCCGCCCATGTTCCCACCATGTTGAGGCTTTTGATGGACTAGGTCATTGTTGTTTGCCCGAAAAAAAGAAAGCACGTTTGGTGACTCAAATTCGTGTTCAGCTCCTGGCGTTTGGTGACTCCAACTCGTCCGTGTTCAGCTGCGACGCTCCCCCTTTTGCTTCACAGGAGGAGCTTCTCGCTGGAGAGAAGACCGTAGAGCCGAACGCCAAGCTGGTGGCACTCTGGCAGGCCATCCGATCATCCGATCCGCGATCCTGGCGTCGGGTTTTGGTTTTCACCATCCAAAAACCCTGGGAGAATCAGCGGGTTTCTGGAACTGGTTGGAGACCTTGGAATTTTGTTTTTGGGCCTTGGAATTTGAAGCTGAGACCCACTTTGGGCTGTGGAGCTTGCTGTGTGATTTTGTCATGTGAAGTTGGGACGCTTTTTGGCCAACAATAAAGAGCCTCGGGGGAAATCAATCCAGTGTGTGTGTGTGTGTGTCTGTGTGTGTGTCTGTGCTTTCTTTCAGGTGGTTACTGGAGGACAACGCTGTCTGACTGGTTTTGTGCTGAAAAGGGCCTTTGTGATGTGTGATTCGCATGCGCGTGCATAGGAGTCTCTCTCCGTGTGTGTGTGTGTGGGTCATGCGTTCTATACACGTTCTTTGCAAACTGAAAGATTTTGTGGAAGCAGCCATCACCGACCAGCCTCTTCCCAGGATAACTTGCGCATAATTTGCGGATCATGCATACCTCTCATTGTCAAACGGGAGTGTGGCGCTGTGGAAAATGGACCAAAACTACAACACCCTGTACATTGAAAACAGATGTGGCACAGCTTGTTTGATTTTTTCGCGCAGAGGTTATTGACACTTCATTTCATGGCTGTTTCAATTTAGGTCACTGAAAGGGCCATACCAATGGCTTGCTGCAACTTCTTTGCTGCGATCTACAGTCGTGTTCCATGTGCAATCTTCAAACCCTGGAGCTTGGGTTGGCGAATCCTCAGCTGGGCACGGACATGTGCCGGATAGAGCGTTGTATGTTAAGCGATTTTTTTATTTGGCGGTTTGGACCGGTTGCAAGGTAGCCGTACTTGATTTGATACAGCCACACGGCTTACCGTCAGAACAACCCTCACGTGTGCCATGCTCAAGCGCTCCAGGGCGTTGATTTACCCGTGGTTGCTGAGGATGTCACAGACTTTGTGGATGTCAAGACTTCCTGAGATTGATAAGGATGGTCGTCAAGCCTTAGAGTATGGGTTTAGATGTACCCGGGCTTGCCACGGACTGTCATCAACCCAGGAATGGTTTGGATTTGCCTGGGGTTGCTAAGGGATGGTCATCAAGTGGGTTTAGATGTACTTGCTATGGATGGTCATCAACCCATGAATGGTTTGTATTTACCTGGGTTGCTACCGATGGTCATCAACCCACTAGGGTTTAGATTTACCTGGGGTTGCTAAGTATGGTCATCAACCTTAGAGTATGGGTGTACATTTACCTGGGGTTGCTAAGGGATGGTCATCAACCCTTGGAGTATTGGTTTAGATTTATTTGGGGTTGCTACCGATGGTCATCAACCCATTATGGGTTGACATGTTGTTAAAGTTGATAAGGATGGTACTCAACCCATTAGGGGTTTAGATTTACTTGGGCTTGTAAAGGATAGTCATCAACCCATTAGGCCTTCATTTTTACTTGGGTTTGTGAATGCTGGTCGTCGACCAATAAGGGGTTTAGACTTGCTTAGTGTTGTTAAGGATGACCATCGTGCTAAGGATAGTCATCAACCCCATTAGGGGTTTACATTCACTTAGTTGCTCAGGATTCAACGCATTGGGGGTTTAGATTTACTTGTTTGCTAAGGGCAGTCATCAACCCATTAGGGATTTAGATGTTCGTGGTTGCTAAGGATAGTCATTAGGGGTTTAGATTTGCTTGGGGGTTCTAAGGATAGTTATCGACCCATATGGATTTAGATTTACTTGGTTGCTAGGGGTGGTCATCAACCTATTAGGGGTGTAGATACACTTGGGGTTTGTAGGGATGGTCATCAACCCGTTGCTGAGGATGATCATCAAACCAATAGGGGTTTAGATTTGGTTGGTTACTGACGGGTTTTGATTTACTTAGTTGCTCAGGATAGTTATCAACGCATTCGGGGTTTAGCTTTTCCTGGGGTCGTCATCCACCATTAGGGATTTAGATTTACTTGGGGTTGCTTAGGATAGTTATCAAGCCTTCGAGTACTGGCTCGGATGGCGGGAGGTGCACTTGGCGGACCTGGCCTTGCGCTTGGAAGGGGGAAGCCTGGCCCCCAGTCCAGGCGCGAACCGCGACAAAGGACCTGTGGCCGCGGGGCGTTTCTTTTACAAAGAAATCAAATGAAACATGGGCATCTTACACGATCTCACCCGAGGAGCTTGTTTCTTCGGGGCTCCGTTTGGGTGAATGATTACGTTTCACAGGTGGGAACATAGGCACCCAGTGAGAAGCCCAACATGCCAAGTTTGGAAAGTATGAACAAACCGCCAAGTTTGGATATGACTTGTGATTTGAATGGGCAGCAACCCACAGTGGCTGCCTGCTCCGTGCGAAGGGAGATCTGCCTGGGCGAGCTTACCGCATTGCCCCGTTCGAAGCCGCGCCTACGTGTCCAGCTGATTCCAGCCTCCACATCCGCGTTGGTTTGGCGGGTCTGGGGCCCACTGACAATGGGATCGACCCATTTTTACTTACCAGTGACTTTACGGCTCATTTTTTTGATTCTACTAGTGACCTCCAGCCGCTTTTCCCCCTGGAGAGGGGTGAAACCCTGGGTGAACCAAAACGGCAGTGAATTCGTTCCCTAGGCCAACGCCACGGCCTCTCGAACTCGCAGAGGTGCGCGAATCCCACGGGGGCTGGCTCGCCTTTCTTTGGCAGTTGGTGCCCCCTTTTGCGCTGTTTTTTAAGGGGGAGGTTGGAGCAAAGCTCGCATTACAAAAGCACCCAAGTGTTTGCAAGAACCTAAGAAACACCATAGGGCCCATAGGATCCTGGAACCTCCGCGTTATCCGTTTACCATGAACAGGGCTGTCACAGGGGACTGTGCGAAGGAAGATTGAACGCAGCCTGGATTTTGCGGAGGCATCCCCCTTTTGGGAAACCACCTTTTTTGGGTGTCATGTTAGTTTGCACGAGAGATAATCGCCACGAGTTCGTCAGACTGATAGCTACTTTGCGAGGAGATATATTGTATTGGGCAAAGGTGACATTGGCCCCTGATAGGCCCAATTGCAAGTCAGAGATTCCCATCACAGATCATGGGGAGTTCTCCTGCCTTTGCGTTGGTGTATGTTGGTGGTCAATAATGAACCTCGAGTCAAGGTTTTGTTGGATCATCCCTGGCTGCGGTGCTTTGCCCACCCAGATTATTAACTGAGAAGCGCAGGTATTGCCCCCAGCCCTTTAGTGGACTGAAGGGCGGTGGGCCAACTCCAGGTCCAAACGTTTGTCTTTCTGTTTCATGCGTGTGCCTTCGGAGAAACCTGTTCCAAAAGACAATGAACACCGGACGGTTTGTCAGCCTCACATGTTGACATAGGCTGCACAGCCCCGCAGCATTTGGGCGATTTTGAAGGACCACCAAAGGCATCCAATCATTCTGGGCCAGTGACGAGCGCACCTAAAACGAGCTCACCCAAAAAGTTGTCATGCGACAGGGTTGTCTATACTTCCCTTTTTGGTTGTTTCCAAGCATCACCTTTTCAGCCAATTTCAAGAGGGTGGCCTTTTGGTAGGGCGATGTTTAAAGGGGAAAATGCAGGGAACCCTGTGCAAAGGTCCTTCCCAGGTTGTGAGTACGTTGGCCCGGGGAAAATCTCTGTCAGTTCGCTCCGGGCGTCGGAGGTCCGCACGGAGCGTCATCCGGTTGTTCCTTGGTTTTTGATTTTGTGCGGGAAACCACAAAACAAAAGACGGGTGTTCTTTGATTTGTGTAGAATCCCCAAAATGGGGCACCATCAAAACGACATCCCCAACTGGGCCCTAACACGGATTTTGGTTGGAAGCCGCACTCCGATGAGTGGAAACAACCATGATGTTGATGCTTTCGCATTCAGCACGCATCACCGGTCCGGTCGAAGGTGCCAGCATCAGATTTTGCCAACGTGCAATCCGTCGACTCTCGCCGCGATCTGCGCGAGTGTATCCCGGACTTCTCGCCGTTTTCAGCTTGCCACGCCTCCAAAGCTTACGTAAGATTCGTTGCAGCTCATTGGCTATATGGATCTTGAGAGAGAACCACGACAGGAAGCAAATTGATTTGTAGCTTTGGACACAGAGCGCCAGACATTGGATATCTTGCTACCTGGTCAAAGGGTTCAGTGAGAGACGCGAGTATTGGGCCTGGCGAGTCAAAAAGAAGCACTGGGAGTATTCAATGACCACTAGGTTTCTGTAGAGGGTGGGGGTGGCGGATTGCCCAAGTGCACCTAGAGGTCGCCTTGTCTGGAGTTTTTGTTCAAGAGAGGTGTCTGGGCAAGCTGGACGCAGAGGATTGCGAGTGGGAAGGCACACCCAATCCAGTCAGCTCCAGGGTTCAGGCATTCCAAAGGTACAAGGGAAGCAGTTGATGCTTTTCAACGCCATTTGTTGTTCGTTCTTTTCCAGTCATAGGGTCAATGCCATGGCCATTGCCAGGAAGCACGTGCACGAAGCGGCGACCATCATGCAGCAGATGCGGCAAGAGGTTTGCCCGGAGGCATGAGCCGGGAGACGGGAGGTGCCACGTGTCGGGGTTTCGTGCTGGTTTTGGTTGGGTTTTGTCCCTACAATTTTTAGGCTACCCCATTGGTGGTTGGATTGGCTTTTGTAGAGGGGAAAGGGGCCACCTCTCCTTAGCCCCCAAACCACCAATCCAAACCAACAACGAGGAAAGCTGAAATTTAGAGGATAACTTTGAAGATGACACCTCAGTTGTGTTTGGCACTTTGGCCGATGTGAAGGCCAGGATGCAGCTGTGTGGAGTTGGAGTTAGTCTCGCCCCGTTTACAAGTTGTCAAAGGCAACCAACCGACAAGTTGGGCTCCCTAGTTGCAGGGCACTTGCGCTGCCAAGAGTATGTTGAGCACAGATGTCTCTTGCCAGATAATGTTCCTTGCAAGGGAGGATGCGTAATCCCTGCCTCTTCATACATGCACCCTATTCAGAAATATCGGTTTCCCCGAGACCTTCCGGCCCTTACTACTTCTCGAATCTTTGGGAATAGGCCAATTCTAATCCAAAACTCAACAGGCGGATTTCTCAGCCCAAGCTCAGCCTTAGGGGTCCCGGACCCAAGCTCCTTGCACCAAGCTCATGCCAGAATTGAACAAAACCAAGGCATACCAAGGCCCCTCTTTTCTTTAAAGTTTGTCAGGAGCTCACTGCTGACATCTTTGGCCATTGTCTGCAAAGGCTGTCTTCTACAAGGGTTGCTTGTCTACCTTCCTAGCACTGACAGCTTGAGAAGGTCGGCGAGGGACACACTTCACTGACTGTTTGTCTTTCTTTCCCTGTGCTAATCTGTGTTGACCGAAAACAAGCACAAACAACGAGTTGTTCCCTTTCAATGCTTGTACTACAACCCAATTACAAAGATGCAAATCAGGACCGTCTCAAGGGATGAGCACATTTGTTTCTGGGGGAGCCCATCTGACCCTCAGTTGTCATGGATAAATATCGGTAGCCAGCCAGCGTTTACGAATTGGGGAGGCCGTATTTATTATTAGGTGGGCCGAACACTTTCATGCTTGCTGGTGGAAGGGCATGCCAATTCCCAGATCCATGCAGCGGTTCCTCCAAGCCCGTGAGCAACCAAGCATCAAGGATAGCAACTTGGTTTGGCATCCTTTTCCCCTTAGCAAGGGGCATGCAGGTGCCGTGGATTTGGCTTCTTTCCGGCATGAGCCTCATGGCGACCAGGCCAGCATCAAAACCCATCTGTCTCTCAAAAGCCAAGACGGCGCGTTGCCTGCCTCGCTCCATGAACTAAATGACTTCCGGCCAAGCTCACCACGCGCTTACTAGCTGGAATTCTGTTTCAAGTGCACGCAGCCTGAAGCTCTCGTTGATTCTTGGAGTTCAACACATCAGCGAGTCCCAAGCTCCCAAGTTCCAATGAACCGCTGCAGCCACCCGTCGCCTGTGACAGGCGCCTGCTATCACGACGGCGCTGGGTGCCATGGGTATCGAGTACGCCGTGAATGCCACGACGCCGGAAGGCGGGCTGCAAAGGGGTGGATATGCCGGAGAGAGCTTGAAAGTCCGCCAAGGGACAGCGTGAGCCTGAAAGGGTGTGAACAGCTGGGAATGTATGTTTGGCAAAATGATCTATTTGAACAAGATACCCTGGAACCGAGGTTGCGGAAGAGGTACGTTGACTGCTTGCATCTGTTCCTTACTTCCACAAGGCTTTGGAAAACCTGAGAGCGGTTTCACAGGGCTGCACCGCAGCAAGCAAGCCGTTGAGAATCCCAACAAACGGAAAACGCGAGCGTTTTGACATGTTGTAGGCGTCATTTAGAAGGTCGCACTGGTCAGAATGGTTCCTGAACCAATCATCCAATACCTGTTAAAGACTCTAGGTCCTTAGGTTGCTCTTGCACATGACAGCAACTAGTCCACTTTATGGGAAATATTCACTTCCGTCACCCTTGAAACATCGAATCATGTCAGCATTGCCAGAGCTATTGCCAATGCTTTTTATCTAGAGGGTCCTTGGCCCCAGCATGTCAAACCTGTCTCCGCTCTTTCCCTTGCAACACTTGTGCGCTCTGTGTTGCACGCTGCAGCGTGTGTGAGTGTGTGTGTGTGTGTGAGTGGGAGTGTGAGTGGGAGTGTGAGTGTGAGTGTGAGTGTGAGTGTGTGTGTGTGTGTGTGTGTGTGTGTGTGTGTGTGTGTGTGTGTGTGTGTGTGTGTGTGTGTGTGTGTGTGTGTGTGTGTGTGTGTGTGTATGGGAGCGCACATTGTTCCGTGAAATCGTCCTTTTGCCCAGAGCAAGGAACCACCCAGTGAGGGCACATGGCGGTGCGAGTGCTTTTGCCGTTTTTTTTTTGTTTTTTTTTTTTGTTTTTTTATTATCTCCTGTGGTTCCCGTCAAGCCCTAAAGAAGCCACACGTTGACCTAGGACGCTAGCTTTCCTTTGCCTCTGGCCTTGAGGGTTGTGCAACCTGACTGCACGGCTCAGGCTTGCCAATGGGCATCCGCGTGCCCTCCATGAATCCAAGGCTCGGATGGGGCACGAGCACCCTATCCAGACGACTGAATTGTTGAAAGCCTCAAACATGTGCCCCGGCTTCGCAGGTGTTGAACCACTGTGTTTCAAGAGAGTTGCCAACAGTGTTGCCTTTCGGACCCCGTGCGCACTTGCGATTCTTGTGTTGAACGGGCGCCTTTCAAGTTATCCAAAGTGCCCGCTGGCCGCCCGGCGGACGAAACCCTTGCTGGCTTGGGCGGGGAAACTGGACTTCTTACAACGGGTGGGTTGCTGAATAGAGTATGTCGAGGCGATTCTGTTCGTCTTTGGAGCTGCCAGAATGCCAGAATTAGCTGGAAACCCAGCGAAAACTAGGGGAATGCAGCTGTTGAATGTGGCAAACAATATTTTAAAGATTTTGTATTTCTAGGGACGTCTTCATTCTCAGAAACTGATGTTGGATAATAAACAAAGCGATCAAGGACGTTTCTGCAAAAATGCCCGGCGTTTGTGGCGGGCTGGACAAGGGCAAGACAGTCCCTTCAAAGACGCCAGGAAATGGATGCAGGGTTCCTCCGAGCCTCCAACTGCCTCTTGTTTTCCTGTTTCAGGGACCAAATGTCTACTGTCACATCATCTTTGAAGCACTCTTGGCAAGTGCTAGGGAACAATCCCACGAACACACTATCATAGATGTTTGTGTTGATGCTGCCACTGTCCAACACATGTAACAGAGTCAAGCTTGAACATTCAATATTACTTCACATAGATGGCCAATCCCGCAGTTTCAATCATACTATTTGACAGCCGCCAAACTCATGTATTGACTGTTCAAACGTGTACAGCAAACACACGTATACACAACAACATGAATACTAGCTGATTGTTCGGCAAGTTCTCTACACTTGCGACTCCAGACAACTGCACACCGATTGATTAGACACACACACACATACACCACATACACAATTCAGCAACGCAATGATGACGTCTCTTTGTTCGCAGACACAATGGCCAATCTAAGTTGAATGAGATTCTTGACGAGGTGTGCATTCATAGGAATAGCGGATGTGGCATGAATCCAACAGCGGCATGCAAAACAATATGCCTTCCGAACCGACTGGTTTGGATCGCTCGATTTCAAGCTGCGAATTCGGTGCCAGAGTCCCAGAAACAAACAACAATGGGCTGAGAAAAAACGATAGCAAAACTCCACAAGTTTCCCATGCCAGAAAGGTACGCCCAGGGGATTGTCCGAAGTGATCTGAATTTTATGGTTTTAGTTGGGTGTTCTAAATGCATTTGAGGTGTCATGAGTGGGGCAGAGAGCTGCTGACGGGGTTTGGCAATGGGTCAAGGAGCTGGTTGTTTTTCTTGATGTTTCTGGAGGATTGATTAGTTCGTTTTCTGGGTGAAATCGGCGGAAGTTCCATACGCTGCGCAATTCGGAGGGACTCCACACCTTGCCGTTTGATACGCCTGGCTATAGGAGTGGACCCACATGTGGCATCAATCCACCAGCTCATACATCGGGTGGCTTTCCTGAGGCCTTGCAAGCATTTTGCTTGGCACTTCTGTGCCGTTCCCTCGTTCTGTTGGTTTTGGTGTTCCCTGAGAACTCCATCTAAGTTGCTACACGTCTGCCTTTCTCCCTTTCCGCCAACGGCTGGGACACGGAAAAGGTCCTACGTCGGTCAGAGTTTCTTCTACGACCCCTTGAAATCCGGTGACCGCGTTTTGTCCAGGGGGTCGGCTCCCGCAGTGTCCATCGAGGCGTGTGGGCGATGCCAAGCACCTTCGGTCAGACTGAGTCAAGAGGGATGCAAAACAGGGTCACTGCCAGGAGTGTTTGAGAGTTCAACTAGTCTTGGGCGGCATGTGCAGAAGCGGGGCTCCTGAGCGGCCCTCCTTGTGATTTGATAGGGAGTGTCCTCTGAAGAATCTTTGCCCGTAGCGGCCCCAATGCACAACTATTCAACAATCAGTGCATGCGTCACTCACTTCTACTCTCCCCGGTTCTTACTGAAGATTCACATTCAACCTGTATCCTGCATCAATAGTCAACAACAGAAACTCTTGGGTTTGGTGGGAAATTGCTCATTATCACAGCCAGTCTGACTTTTTGTTTCACTTGAGTTGGGTAAGTCAAATCACCCCTTCCAAGAGCAGCCAGCACATGACGGCCTATCTATATTTGGGTGTCCCCCAAATAGGAAATCCCCTTTTAGTTGATTTCAACACGTAAGCCCACCATAAAGAGATGTTGTTCCTCGTTTGGGAAGGGAAACACTTTCCGAAACGACAATAAACTGTTTGTACATGAGAACCCATCAAATGGTTCCCCTTTGAAACAGCGAAACGAGGTACCTTCAATAGAAAGCAACGCCCGCAAGGCTTTCTTCGCTTGTGCGCAAAGATGTTTTGGATCATGGCGGCCCAAGATCTCGGATGGTTTGTGATTGCACGCCGAAAGGAATTGCAGCACTTGTTTGTAATTGTATTGCCTCGCATTTACGTGATGGCATTTCTTATGGGTTGTTGTCATGTCGATTGTGCAGTGTACCAAAACGTTATGTTGATTCTTGCGTTTGCTCTAAATTAAATCCAACATTGTTTGAAGCACTCCTGATGATTTTGAGACTGATGCTGCTTCAGTAACAGCTCGAACTAGAAGTGATATCTGCAGTAGAGTCAGGTACACTAGTTTGCCTGCCCACGCTCTCCTGGATAGCCAAAGACCGTTCTACACTTTCCCCGCGTTGACTAGGCTTGGGCTACTTGCAGGGACGGTTCTGATCATCTGAACACAGCCATGCACCTGTGCTGCAAGTTTCTTCGGGCATGACGCTATGTTGACCCGGGTCCATCCAGTGGATTGGCCCTCGTACATCCTACGTTCCCTCCCCGGGCTCAGTACCAAGGCAAAGCTGGGGACACCTCGCCATTTTCCAGGGATCCTTTCCAGAAAACCATTAGAACCCCAGGCGAAACAGCTGGTTTTTGAAAAGAACGATGCTTGAAAAGAATGGGCTAGAAAAGCATAGCCATCCAAGAGAGCCTCAGGTGGATCAGCCGGGCGACTTCCTGTTGGACATCGACTCAGGCTGCGCGCACCGCGCCTTGTCAGATGTTGCCCTACCTTTGATACTGCTGCGCCCACTTCACTTTTTCTTGGTAAAGCAGTATAACTACCATAGGACCATTTGCCATTTCACCGTTTTACAAAAGGCCCATGAATTGTGCATTCTGGTTGGGGCTCAATTTGGTTTGCTCCCTGTCCAACGCTTGCTCCAATGCGACCAGCTAAACATCAGGCCAGCGAAACAAACTTGAAAGGTACATGCCAATCTTCAAATCACAAATTCAACGCACCAATTAAGGGTTAGCTGGGAAAAACGATGGAGGCTTGACTTGTTTGCTGAGGGCAGTTTTTTGCTAGGCCATAGCGGAGTTTCAGCAAATAGCAAGCAAATGCTGCCGTGGGCCTTGTTGGTGCCCCCTACCAGCCGTTGTGGAACCCCAGATCAGTTTGACTGCACCGGACTTTCCAGTATTCTGAACCAGATGGCCATGGTGATTTAGGCTGGGGATGGATTTTATTAGGGAACCACCTCAAGTGCACATGAATCCGCGCCTAAATGATGGCCAAGGGTCCTAAAGTCATCCAGATCGACGCCTTCAAACCTCACCTCCAAGCCTGATGCCTGAGGATTTCCGCCGACCTCGCTGAGGAGACGGCTGCTTTGCAAGCTAGGCCGAGAGCGGGGGCTCTCCTTGTCCAGCCTCTACCAGGCTGTTCTTGCCTGCTTATGTTCATATCTTAAAAAAGACAAACAACAGATTAGTTCATAGATGTTGAATTTGTGTTGCTAATTGTTTCAGGTATCGGTCAGTTTGGCGATGTAGCCACTCACCATACCCTCCTGCAAATGAAGGCCCGAGGCTATCCCTGAGGCTTCTTGCCCAGTTCGGTCAAGTAATCCGTAGCTACGACATGTTACGACGTTTGGATGTGACATGATGCGACCATGCCTAAGCGACCATTCCAGCAAAACATGTGCGTCACAACTTGGAGAATTTGACGATGCCTTGAAAACAAGGCGACTTATCCAGTGCTGCTGCTGTGTGTGTGTGTGTGTGTGTGCTCTGTTCGGGTTGCTTTAAAGGGTCCCCCAAATAGGGATGCTTGCTCCACCACTTGCAGAAGAACGCATCGTAAGTGGAGGAGTTTTCCTTGGAGCACGTGTTGGAAGAGTGCAAGCATCCTTTGAATGGCCCGCTATTTCCATGTTCGGAGGAAGGGTGAAATATGGTGCCCTTACTGCGAAGCTCGTTTTGCTTTGGAATTTGGCCTTAGTAGCGCTCCGCGTGCCTTGAGGCATGGTTCTGGCAATGAGGCCCGCATATCACCATGGTTTTGTTCGTAACCAACAACATTGCCATCGCTTTTTTAAAGTGATACCCTTTTTCCACAAGCATGGAGACAAGTGGGTATTGGAGACTACATCCCTTTCGAAAAGGCCCCTGGTCCGTTCCATGTTTGTTGAACAAAAGGGTAGGTGTCCACGGTTACGCTGTTTGTCAGAGTGGTAAATGGGATCACTTTGCTGTGGATCATAGTCCGCATTTTGTTGCGCGATTTGGTTCCAGATATCAATGTCAGCTTTGGTGTATTCCAGAGGATCACTCAGGAGCCTCATTCTCATGACTGTTCTTTTCCTCTAAAAGGGAGCAATTCCCAACTCGACCTATCCATGTGATTTGCCCCAATGCTTGTCGGGACAGGTTAGCGCGTTAGCGAGTGTTTTGGGGCCTTGGAGGGTTAAGCTCCGACCAGGGTCTCCATAGCCCCAAAAAAAATAGACTACACAAAACAGGGTACCCTTATTCTAACCTAGATGGAGAAGGGCATTGACATTTGAATGTCAGGTGTTCGGTCATGGATTATCTGAGTCGCTGGTCTAGGACCAGCAGGTTCATTTCCAGGTGACCCACTGGAGCAAGCATATTAGAGACATCTTGATTGGCCGAACCCGGAGTCAGCCAAAAACTCGCATGAGATATACACACAAATATCATCTCATTTACAATGCAAGCACCCCCCCCTTTTGCGTCCACCAACAATCATGCGGAATGGGAAGAGAAAGGCGTTGGCAATGGCGCGCTGTTGCTTTCGCTGGTCAGTTGGCTGAACACCTGACACACTGGTTGCCCAGCCTCTCGCCTCCAAAAGCTTCTCAACCGAGTGTTTGCATCCTCAATCACGTCCATGCGTTTGGCCCCACAGGACTTGTTCGGCTTGGGGTTTAGGGTTAGGTTTAGGGCTGCGGCTGGGGTTTAGAGTTCAAGGTTCTGGTGAAGGTTTTTTAGAGTTTAGGTTTGGTCCCAAATCACCGGCCCTGCGGAGTACTTTGCACTTTGGTGGATTGAAACACTTGAGAAGCACAAGTCCTGCAGCGCGATTACCGCATCTGGCTCACTTTCTGAGTTTGCAAGTCAAGGGGAACCCTCCCCCAAAAAAGTTGGTAAAAGGGCACTACTGGGGACCTGGTTTATTCATACAGTTCATGCTTGCCACCTAGCCGGGCGCTGAAAAGGAGACATACTTCTTGGGAAACACCGTCCCCTGTGCGGTTGTCCGGGATCAAGCGGTGAATGCGCTGCGCCCCGTCAGGGTACTCAGTGGTCGTTTTGCCCTGGTACGAGGCCGGTCTGAGTGCTGGGTGAGATCGGAATGGAGAGGTGTGTCCTCAAAGGGACAGTGTGCCATTGCGGCCGCGGGGTAACTTAGTGGTGGTGCAATTCTTTGGTGCATTTTGCTTGGATGTTAGGACTTTAACTTCTGCCAACTAATGGGTTTTCCATTTCACCACTAAACGTTAAACGTTTAGCAGGGCAGCAGAAAGCAATCAAGAATTAGAAGTCGTGGTACAATTGATCCAGTTGGCAAAATTGGTCCAATTGACTAGTTGCGCGTCTGTTTGCTTGCAGACATGCACAGACACAGTCGCGCGCGCGCACACACACAAACAGAGTCACACACACACACACACCCAGACACACGCACACACGCACACAGAGACAAATATAGAGTCCCACACCAGGAGCCATCATTGATCATGACGCATGACAATCAAAGTTTCATCATGCTTACCGGCGCTTCCTGAGCATGTCATCGGACTGATGCAACATGATTCTTGCCTCAAACAAAATAGGAGTCATGGATCAAAGGGTTGCTTTCATGGATATGCGACGTCAGATTCGCGCAATGCTGCAACAAAGCAGCTGTGACCAAGAGCCATGCTGCCAGGTTAGTTGCTTTCGATAGGCCGAACAGAGACGCACTATGAATCCCGCATCCCTGGACTATATTTTCTGGATCTTTTTGACAAGGCCGTTCTAGTGGTAAGCAACACGCTTTGATTTTATCGTTTTGGGCCAATCCACTCAGGAAGCGAGCAAAGGCAACCATGAGGGCATGGACAGTGTCTGGCTTTTCACACGAAGGTGGGGATTTGGTGTCTACACCCATTGGTCCACCCATGACGTGACAGGAAATGCCCAGTTTTGGCAGCTGCGTGTTTTTGTTTTCTGTTTCTGACGGGTACCTTGCAGGTTTGAGCGAAAAGGAAGAAAGAAAGTCTCCCACCCATTTTGGGAGCCTGGTGCCATCTATTTTTGGGATGCTTTGAGACGCGCTCAAATGGGTATGTCCTTTTCGTAGGGGACTGAGCCCACGAACCACTTGGATGCACGCTCAGAAAGGTCCGTACCCGAGACAAACTATCACTAAAAAAGACAAAGAATAGATCTTCAACTTCTTGCTGCGAATGACCCAGTAGCCTAATTGGCAAGGCGTTGCTTCTGCATTCACGCAGCATGTATGAGCTCTGCATCTAGATGGCGGGCGCCAGATCTTGACGGTGCCGATGATCAAAGCGCGTTGACATCAGTTGAACAGACTTATAAAGTGTGAAGTGACATGGCGTTCATGATGTGGGCTTGGGCAAAATGGGTGGGTCTTCCTTTAGTTGTGTCCCTTTAAACAAAGGGGGTACCCTCAAAATTGGCAGACCCCAAATGGCACCCTCACGAATTGATTTGGAGCTAGGTGAGTGGGTGCGACCAAGAGCAGCTGCAAGCACTGCTCAAAGCTCGCTTGGCGGTGGTACCTCGGCTTGCGTGGGGTGGGGGGGGGGGGGGATTTTTTGGTTTCTTTCCTAAGGGAAACCGGAACCTGGGTGTGTCATTTTTTTTTGTTGGTACTTTTTGTGGGAACCCGCAGAAAAGTTGCGGTAGGAAGCCACAGTCTGTGGTTTGTAAGGGAGCCGCAAAGAACACCAACCATTGGCTCCCGTTCCTCATGTGGAGACACACCCAAGCCCTTGGATGCATTGTCCATTCCTTTCTTCTCTTTTGAGAATTCACCCACTTTGATCTTTTTGAGAAGTAATCCTTCCACATTTCTGATTGGATCCCTGGAAAGCGTGGGGTCCCAAATTGGTGGGCTTCCCATGAACCAACCCCCAAACAGAGTCCAAACAAGACACACCGTATGGATGTTTCCGAAATTGCCTTGAAACATCCAGAAAGCCCAAGGTGTGGAAAGCTTCACACTTCATGTTGTCGTTTTGTGCACTTATTCTTTGAAGGACAGGCATTCGGACCGGTCGAAATTTCAGGACCCTCGCCCATGATGAGAAGTGTTTAGGGGATGCCTCATTTCAGGTTGGATGTTGTTATTTGTCCAGGCATTTAAGACTGGTGCTCAGCGGGGAATGATCCAGGGTGTCGGGAATGAACCTAGGGACTCCCATAAATTAAAGGGAACCATAGGGGATGGTTCATAGGAGTCATTCCCTCATTCCCTGCTGAGAACCAGCAAGTTTAGTACACGGCCGTTTCTCCCCATGATGTTTATCTCGGGATTGAGGTGCCTTGGGCAAGGCTTGTTCACGACGGCCAACAGTTAGGCGTTAGACTCTGACTTTGAGTGTCTTGAGGCAAAGTGAAGCGGCTTGGCTCTATGAAGATATTTGCTTGATCCTGATCATGCAGCGGGATCCCTACGGTAAATGTTTGGTCAAGGGCATGAGTCTGGTGGGTGATGTTTTCAGCAATTGGACCGATGTCTGCCACAGCCACCGCATGGATGCAGGACTTAAGCAATGAGCCATGAGCTTGGTCGTACGCTATGGTAGATATGGTACGCTGGCCATGAGAGTCGTGAAACCTGGCGCCCCGCAGAAAGTTCGGGACAGGCAGCGCATGTGCTTGGCGCCATTGGTTCCCTACTAGGTCCCCCAGTGCCCTTTTACCCTTGTTTGGGGGAGGGTTCTCAAAAGTAGTTGGTGGACACGAATCCCAACCTAAATGATGTCCACCAACGGGTCCCTTATCTAAAATTCACAGCCACATGTGTATTTGTTGCAATTGTCGCAATTCATGCAATGCCGCAAAGGTTTTGTGTGCTGGCCACGGCTTGGTCAATAGGTCTGGGTGAATTATAACGACCTCACATGACCTCACCCCAAATGGTGGTTTATGTGAGGAATAGCCCCCCAACCACCTTATTTCAGGCTGGTGAAATATTATAATTCGCCCAGATAGGTGTGCCATGTGTGCTCAGCTACCTCAGGTACCTCCGTCCCCGCGCTTCCGCGACAGCATGGCGCTCAGAAAAGCCTGTGACAGAAACGCCTGAGTGATGATCTGAAGACCTGCAATCATAGGTGTCCTTTTTAGGTTAGTTTGGTTAGACAATAGAAGGCACTGGTTTAGATGGGTTTAACACCCATCTAAACCAGTGCCCTCTATGTTTAACCAAAGTTGTATTCCATTTACCAGGGCTACATGCCGGACATATGACAACCACATGATAAGTAGATGAACACGAAAATTGCATGAAATATAAGAATGTGTGTTAGGTACATGCTTCAAGTAAAGTAGGCGCAGGCTACATAGACATTGACACTAGGGGTATGTTAAATATGCTGGGCAAATGATAGGCATGTGCTCTAGGAACCCTTCTTGGTCTATATAGGCGCTGCTAGATAGTAAAACGAAAATGTTAAATATGATAGACGAGTGTTAGTGATATACTTATAGCAGGCATGCGACCCACCCTAAGAGTATGTTGGACACATGCCACGTACAGTAGACACCTGCCTTGTACACTCTAGGAACATCAGGATACATGAAGCAGTTCTACACATCACACACTTCATGAAACCAGTCCCACATGCTACATCTATTTCTCAATCAGGCAAATACATCTCTACACCGACTGAATTCTATCTTGAAACGTGTATGTCGCCAGAAAGCAAAGCAAGTCTTACTAGACTATGGCAGTTATTTGTTGTCTTGGTTCTTTGAGAGTGATGATCTTGCCTTTTCCTTACACTTCTTCTTGCCTGCAAGAAACAACACAGCCCCCACGGCGTCTCGTTCTGAAAGGACACCAGCCGCTTTCATCGACGTGGACAGTGGACAGCGCACCTTGCCCCCCTCCCCACGCAGCATTTCTTGATCTGAGCAGATGGACTTTGGTTCTCTTTATTGCATCTCAGTGGCAGAAAAAAGAAGCCAACCGACCTGTTGAGCTGTTGGTTTTTCTTGTTGGTCGCTTTGTAGTCAAGGCCCCAAAGATATGTGCACATGAATGCACCATGTGCTAGTTTTGTGTCAGCATGGGTATGTGTCAAAGTAGGTGGCGTTCCCCCCCAAAACGGGCGGCCTGCTCTTCGTCTCAAGGGGGACTGAGGCAGTGAGCGCAGCGGGCCTCGGACTCGTCAGGCTGGCTGCTTCCGACTGCGAACTTGCCCGCCTTTTTTTTCCTGGGATGGCCATGCACCATCCCATCCCAAGCCAAAGAGCAAAGAGGGCTTATCAGCTGTTGACATGACTTCTTCAAACTGCGATGTGGCCATGGGGAAATTATTGGGTGGCTTTTCTTGGAGTCCCTGCTTCAAACATGCGCACCCGTACCGAAGGACGCTTCATGGTGGCTGTCCTTCTCTTTTGCTCAGGTTCAAATGTCAATGGGGATTTCCCGCCTTTTACAGAAAGGCAAGCAGTTCAGTTGTTTGGTTGCTCAAGCCGTTTCATCATGTGTCTGCAAAGACTGTTGCGGACAAGTCGGTTGGTCGGGAACAGTTCCTGCTTCGCACGAAGGCGTTGTCAAAGCAACCAGGCAGAAAAACAAAAACAAAAAGCGCTTTTAGCCCGACATAGTTGCTTTTTTAACTGGATGACAACGTGCACGCATTGGTAGGTCCAGATAATTGGTAGCCATGGATTCAGCGTTTAAAAGGTCAGGCTGGTTGTGTGACATATTCACGACTGGCCACTGGGCAACTAGAAAACAGTGGTTCAGTGGCAACCTTGGTACCTTTTTGTCCCAGTTGGCACCAACGGCAAATAACCTCAACACCCCTCTTTTGTCCCCTATGACGATGGGGCAACTGGGTGTAGTTGACAGCGCAATCACTTCAGGAAGTTGTTTTGAGGCCAAGGCAGATTGTTGCTCGATGGCTGCCTGGAAGGAGCGGAAAGGCAGAAATCCCTTTTCAGTTTGACACACGCATTTGAAGGATGCTGCCATCTTGGAATGTGGATTGCAGAGTAACCGGGCAACATTTCAAGGAGTGGAGGGAAAACTTTGAAGCGGTCCATGTTTGAAGCCCTTCAGGACAAAGGTCGGACAAACGACGGCTGGTTGGGCATGAGTCGGGTCTAGCTGACCGATGCCAAGACCGATTTTGGGGTGTCTCATGCAAACATTGGTGGCAAAGCCAGAAATGCTACCGCAAGATGAACAACGAAGAGGTAAGCTTGCCTTTTTACTCCCCTCTTTCCGTGAGGCTGTTTAAAGAAAAAACAATCAGACACCGAAACCCATTGGATGCCCCTATCTGTTTTCTTGAGCCCGCTCTTGTCGAGTCGTAACAGAACAACCAAAGGAAAGCCCTTGGAAAATAAGGACTTCCAACTTGGAAATGGCCCATTTCGACCAATCCATCTTGCGTCAGGCGGTCCCAGAGCCTCAAGCGACAGGAGGAGTTTGGGGGGGGGTGAAGGAACGTCACAGAGCCGAGGGGCTGAAAGTGAAAAGCGCTAGGTCCCCCAGCAATTGGTGCCCTTTTACCAACCTTTTTGGGGGAGGTTCCCCTACTAGAATAGACTACAGAAACAAAAGTTGGTACCCTTATTCTGTGACCTAGGCTATTTGTGTTTTGTGGTTCTGCCCCTCTGCGGCGATGATCTTCTGAATGCACGTTTTGCAGCTGGTGCACCGCAGGTGTTGGCATCGACGCTTGTTCCGAACATGCAACATGGTATAGTTTGCTACCCACACTGAATGGAGTTGCATGAATGCCTGAAATAAGTTTGATGGAGGATTTGGGAACAACTGATGATTGGACCAAGCAGCAGGTGCAAGACAGTGTCTACCCAAAACAGTGCTGAAAGCCAAGGAGCAAGACTCATGCTCAGGAAGCCTTCTTGTTGCATGGATTTCATTTCCAAACATGTAGACAGATTGCTCATGATAAAGGATTCCCGATGCTTCCTTGCTTTCCTTGTGTTTGTTTGGTGAACTATTCAATGAATGTACTGGTAGCAGACTGAATGAACCTCGAATCCTTTCAATGAACGGCGAGGCTTGACGCATCCCTAGGCGGATGCATAGCATAATTCCTCTGTAATTCTTTGCCTTCCTTACGCCCAAAGACATTGGGAATGATCCTTGTTCAACTTTCGGATGTTTGGCGGTTTGGCTCCCAGCATTCAATGGAGCCCAGGGACCATGCTACACCTTCGCTCAGCATTCGAGTGTTTGCTCACGGGGCCTGGGGAATAAGGCAATCTTGAGGCTTACGAGCCAAGTTCCCCTCCCCCCCCCCCCCGCCCTAGTTAGAAGGGGAGAGTTAAGTTGGTGCCTCCCCTCCCCTCCCTCCCTCCCTCCCTCCCTCCCTCCCGTCCCTGCCTCCCAATAAAAAACGGTTGCTTAAGAATATGTTTTATTTTCCCCTGTTGGTTTTAAAGGGAATCTATCACTGCGGGACTTTTTTTTTCCAGGGGTCTTCACCAAAATGGAAGATAAGGAGGTGCCTCTTGAGCTGCCGCCAGGCCGGCGCCTCACGCCGGACACAGGGGGCAGCCCTCCGGGCAGCGCCGAAGCCCGGAGCCCAAATCCAAACTCCGGGCGCTCGCTTGCTGAACTACCTCTGCTACCTCAAGGATGGGGGAGTTCTGCTGGGTGGATGTTTCTTGCACTTGGCAACCGATGAGTTAGTAGTGAGTTGGGTATATTTTTCGTTTGAACCCCCCCCCCCCCCCAAGAAAGCGCTTTTTCTGGGTCCAGCCAGTTGGGGGATGGTTTTTTTGGGCGGGGTTTTCAGGAACCCAAAAGCGAAAGCTCTGCAGGTGGGTCCTCTCCCTCTACTTTAGGACCTTGGTGTTGCAGGGCAAGCTGAGTCATATCTCAGTGAAGCTGACTGCGCGCTTTCCATGTGCCAATTTCAATCCCGGGGGCTTGGAAGCCGGAGTAGCCTGTAGATGAGACCATTTGACACGTTTCTGACTGATCTGAGGACTTGCGATTGCTGCAACTTCAATTTTGGAAACATGAGTCATGTACTCAGTGGTCCAAAACCGACCTTTCGACCTTTCGTGTGTGTTTTTGTCTGACTGTTTTGATCTATGTTCAGTCAATGTACCAAAAGCATAACCTTGTATCTCTAGGCCCTTTGGGTAAGTGAGTCTGTGAATGATATATTTAATATGGCCATGGTCCAAAACCAATGGTACCATTTTGGGATAGGTGCACCACCCATTATAGTCTATTGTAGTGGGGATTGGGAGGTTCACTGGGGGTACAATTTGGGTTTTGACCCATGTCCATATGATCCTTGGGCGAATCACATCAGGCTTTGTTTGCTGGAGTTGCCTCAGGGCTTTCTTGGCTCAACGAGCTGAGGCCAGCAGCAGCGAGCTGTCAGGCGGAATCCGAGAAGAGAAAACTCACGGATTTGTAGGAGGCAACCGTGGGGATTTTCAATGTGCGTGGCTCGAAGAAATGGATTTGTTGCAACCATAGGATGTTTTTGAATGGCTCCTACCAGACTGACATTTTTTGTGCATGGCTCCTCTGAGATCCATGGTGTGACTTATCCGAGAAAAAAGGACTTATGCCACCATGGGTTTTTTTAACGGCTTCTACCACACTGGGATTTGTTGTTGGCTCCTCTCAGGTCGGTGTTTTGAGGCTTGTTTATTGGTCACTGGATTCCCCCGCTGCGAGTTATGCAATGCGTGTGTTTTTGTTTTTTCCCGGAAATGTACTGTCAGATTTACTATTGGGCTGTCGGGGCTCGGGACCTAGCATCGATGTATCCCGAATGCTGCAGTTTTTGTTGAGGGTCCCAAGAAAACGCATTTGTGGGTGGCTTCAACGCTTTACTGATGCCACTTTGATTTGGTGGCCAACCAGACCACATGGGCTGAAAAAACAACCCCGCGCCTTTTCGTTATGTAAGGGGCCGTCCCTTAACTTGTTTCGCAGGCCAAAACCATTGTAAACCGATACAGAGGAAAAAAACGATACCCCCAGAAGCCATGAAGACACACATCAGGTCCTAGTTGTTGTCGCAAACCAAGATTGCGGAATCATAAATTTGTAGGGCCCAAACCGATACCCAAACCGATACCCAACCGATACCCAACTCATTGGCCGCCATGCCGAATCCAACCAGCTGCCCTGCAGCCTTCTCTGGAGCTGCCAACATGTACTTTGTGTACTACATTTGTACTGAAAAGTTGCGACTTCCGCTGTGGAGCTGCCAAAATGTACTTCGTATACTACACGTACACCATACTACACTTGCTTGCGCTGAAAAGCTGCGACTTTCGAGCCGGAGCTGCCAAAATGTACTTTGTGCGCTACACTTGTACTGAAAAGTTGCGACTTTCCAGCTGGAGCTGGGAGCTGGCAGAGTGTACTTCGCATACTACACTTGTACGGAAAAGTCGCGACTTTCGAGCCAGAGCTGCCAAAACATTGCGAACCGATGCAGAGGAAAAAACCGATACTGACCGATACTGAGGCATAAGGATACAAGGGTTGTCCACGGGGTTGTTTTTTCAACCCACATGCCACTCAGTTTTCTTTCAAGTATGGACTGACAACCTTTCAGTGAAGCGCCTTGGTGCAGGTGTCTGTCTGGGTGCGACCAAGAAGTTCAATTTTGTGCCAAGGATTGTACAATTGCTTACACGTGGGCATGCCTTGATTAGCAGAGACCGATCAACTAATATCCGGAAGTCGCTGTGCCGAGTTTGCGCGATGTGTGCACTAGCTCTTTGAAAATGTTGCCGTGTTTGTTGCCTTTGGTGGCGTTTTTTGTTGCTTTTGATGCTGTTTTGTTGCTTGGCGTTTGCGGCTGCTTGGCTTTTGCGGCACCCTTAAAGATTCTTAGCCCACCGGAAACACAGCCCAACCTGCCCTCAACCAAGCCCAATCTCAAGCCGATGCCATTGAGGAAACGCGGCAAAGCGGTGTGCTCCATGGCCAGAGAAAAAAGAAGAAACACGGGGCTCCTTAAAAGATCGATCCATTTTGCCCACCCATTTGAAACATGTGGCTTTTTCAACACCAAAATAAAGGAGATACATTTTGCAACCGTTTGAAACATGTGGCTTTTTCAACACCAACATAAAGTTGGACACCATCATTTACAAGTTGCAATGTTCAGCTGTATGATGTAAGGATCCGTGAAACACAAATCCAGTATCGTCCCTTTGTGGAAAGCCCACATTTGGGTTGAGCATCTCGTGAGAGGATGCTCATATTCCTTTGGGCTCAGCGTAGCTTGGAAAGAAAATGCCATGGAACCTGAAAGGACGCCTCAGTATTCTCTTTTCTGGAAACCTCGCAAGACAGCAGAAGTCAGGCTGCATCGAGTGAAAGCAGAGCAGAAGGAACAAAGCTTGTTCTCAGTGTGTTGCGTTGAGTTGGGGAGAGCATGAACACTGGTTTGGATTGGTTGGAGACGTTGACCTAATGTCAATGACTAAAATTTCACTCAACCAGGACAGGCAAAACTTATCCATGGCGGCTTTTGCCGGGCAGATGAAACCTGCCACGCCCATCGCCGCAGGTTTCCCGCCCATGCCTGCCCCCTTCAGGATGAGGCAGGTCTTGGCCTGCGAGGTTACCAGATGGAGCGATTTTCTTTTCCAAAGCAAGCAGCGCCCCACACCCCGCTTCAAATCATTTGGGTATGGGTCAAAATGAAACCACCAGTGGACCTCAGGTTTTGGTCCTTGCTTCCATTTACCAGGGCAAGCCATTTTGGGAACCTATTTCTGACTCAGAGCCATTTCAGTAGGGTGCTGTTACTTGAGATTACAGTCAGGCCTACCACCTTCATTATACCTTCATGATGGACCCAGAAGCTGAGCATTCAGGTGTTCAGGCTTGGCTTTGGAGGCTTAGCCTCCCAAGCCCAAAGCCGAACTTTTCCGTACCAAGTGGTTGACCCCGCACCCCCCCCCCAATGCGGCATGTCATGGTTAGTGCTTGATCTTCGTCATCTTCCGGAGGCGCCTCGAATCGAAGTGGCGGTTGGTTTTATTGGATTTCGATGAGATGATCAGAGGACTCGACTTGGCACGTGCCAAGCCTGAGCTTTTGGCATCAGGTTGCCTTCGATGATTGTTTGGTGGGCTTAGGGCATGTAAGTCCCGAGGTGATCAGAGTCCATGCAAGGCCCAACTATGTTTGGGCGGCACCTAAAGATGGAACGACCTATTCCAGACCTTCGCACTGCGCACTATCCAACAAGGTAGGGGCAAAATCTTAAACGACTTGTTTTCTCATGACTGTGAAGACTTCGGTTTTGAAGTACCCCGCAAACCCAACTGTTTAGGCCCTTGTACTATGTTGAACCAGGGCCCATGAGTTGTAGTTGGTGAGGTCAATCCATGTTGGATTCGTCGCGTGGGTTCGAGCGGGACCCCCTTAAACAAGGGATGGTTCACCAGGGTTCCCCGAGACCCTGCAAGGTAAGTCGTCTAAGGCGCCAGAGTTGCGCAGAGCAAGTGCGACATGGAGCAGATTGGCTTTGAGCTCTTAGGATTGAGCCGTGCAAAAAATCATGAAATGAACTCACTGCAAACATTTCATGAAATGATATGAACTCACTGCACGCAGATCAGAGCTGTCATGACTGCTTGGCATTTACTCTATCGCACTCAAAGACCTGAAGTCACAGAAGCGGCTGGTTTTGCCCAGCTCGGCTGATGGCTCGTGGCGATGTCGATGCTGCTCGCTTGCAATTGTGCATGGCGGAAGGTCGCAGCAAAAAAGCAGCAGCAAAAAAGCAGCAGCAAAAAAACAGCAGCAGAACAGCAGCAGCAGAACAGCAGCAGCAGAACAGCAGCAGCAGAACAGCAGCAGCAGCAGCAGCAGCAGCAGCAGCAGCAGCAGCAGCAGCAGCAGCAGCAGCAGCAGCAGCAGGGTACAACAACACAAACACTGGAGGCTCTTGCCGCCGCAATTCCACTGCCCTAGTCCCTTCTAATAGTAACAAGAGCAGAAACACAACATCGCAGAACATCAAATGAAAGCAATGTCAACAAACAATGGACATCCGCCCAACCAACAACAGACGAGCAACATTGAGATCGAAACATAAGAACAGACAAAACACATGCACGAAAGTGTTGCACAGCAGAAGGGGCAGTCAGAAGCCGGGAAAGACAACAGAAGCACAGCAGAACACGGTACTTGACCTTTCTCCCCTCCTCGCAACCTTTCACAGAAACGAATCCTTTGACCCCAACCCTTTGCCAAGTCGTCGTCAGCCCCTTAGTCTCCACCAACTGTTTGGCAAGTGTCGCGACCCCAGCGACACCGCGCGAGGAAAAAACAAAGGAGAGGCAAAGTGGGGTCCAATGGTCCAATGCTTCCAACAGGGTTTCCTCCATTTCCCTTTGTGGAGCCTGAAGTGGCGATCGTCTCAAGGAAGTAACACCAGTGAATTGATCAACTTTCAGATTTCAGGGAGATCCTATGGAAGTGGCAATCGTTTCAGGGAAACCCAATCCAACTTTCAGACTTCAGGGAGATCCAGGCCCGCCCCTCTCCGTCTCCCACGCGTACGGCCCAGGTCCCTCTTCGAGGCCTTCGACGGTGCCCAGCCACCCGTCAGCCAGGCCTTGGAGCGGCCCGAGCTGCGGCGGGAGCTGCGAAGCTTCTCGGGCAGGGCGCTGGCGGGACTGGCCATGGCGGCAGCCAGCCATGCCAGGACCAATGGCCCCAAGCCATCCTGTTCCTTAGCTTTTTGGTTTTGGGGAGGATGTTGTGCTGGGCTTGGTGGCTCCCAGCCATCCGGTTCCTTAGCTTTCTAGGTTTTTTGTTGGTTTAGTGGTAGTTTCCATTTAACCCACTAAAAGTGAAACTCTTGGCGGGGGACCTGAGGGCGGCCCAGTGGCGGTTTTCAGCTTATGGCCTTGAAGTTCTGTTGCGACATTTTACCAATTCTAAGAAAAACAGCAAGCTTACTTTGCTCCCCCTTGCTTGGAAAACCTGTGAAACATACCCGGTTTTAACGAATTGGGTGTTGCCTTTCTGCTCTACGGTTTCCCCTCATGTTTCCTTGCAGCCAAACGACTCGCAGGCCGGATCCCTGAGGAAAAGGAGGGACACCTCCGGGTTTGTCTCTCCGAAAACCAAATTGGAGTCGTCTCTTCTTTTTCATCCAAAATTGGGGTCACACAAACACAGACACAGAGACACAGAGACACAGAGACACAGACACACAGAGAGATACAGACACACAGACACACGGACACACAGACACACAGACACACAGACACACAGACGCACAGACACACAGACACACAGACACACAGACACACAGACGCACAGACGCAGAGACACACAGACACACAGACACACAGACACACAGACACAGAGACACAGAGACACAGAGACACAGACACACAGACACACAGACACACAGACACAGAGACACAGAGACACACAGACACACAGACACACAGACACACAGACACACAGACACACAGACACACAGACACACAGACACACAGACACACAGACACACAGACACACAGACACACAGACACACAGACACACAGACACACAGACACACAGACACACAGACACACAGACACACAGACACACAGACACACAGACACACAGACACACAGACACACAGACACACAGACACAGAGACACAGAGACACAGACACACAGACACACAGACACACAGACACACAGACGCACAGAAACACAGAGACACAGAGACACAGAGACACAGAAACACAGAGACACAGAGAGACAGAGACACAGACACACAGAGACACAGAGACACAGAGACACAGAGAGACAGAGACGCAGACACACAGAGACACAGAGACACAGACACACAGACACACAGACACACAGACACACAGACACACAGACACAGAGACACAGAGACACAGAGAAACAGACACACACACAGACACACAGACACACAGACACACAGACACACAGACACACAGAGACACAGAGACACAGAGAGACAGAGACACAGACACACAGAGACACAGAGAGGCAGAGACACACAGACACAGAGACACAGAGACACAGAGAGACAGAGACACAGACACACAGAGACACAGAGACGCAGACACAGAGACACAGACACACAGAGACACGGAGACACAGACACACAGACACAGAGACACAGAGACACAGACACACAGAGACACAGACACACAGAGACACAGAGACACAGAGAGACACAGAGACACAGCCACAGAGACACAGAGACACAGAGACACACAGACACAGACACACAGAGACACGGAGAGGCAGAGACACACAGACACAGAGACACAGAGACACAGAGACACAGACACACAGAGACACAGAGACACAGAGACACAGAGAGACAGAGACACAGACACACAGAGACACAGAGACACAGACACAGAGACACAGAGACACAGAGACACAGAGAGACACAGAGACACAGACACACAGAGACACAGAGACACAGACACACAGCAGACACAGAGACACAGACACACAGAGACAGAGACACAGAGACACAGAGACACAGAGACACAGAGACACAGAGACACACAGAGACACAGACACAGACACAGAGACACAGAGACACAGAGACACAGAGACACAGAGACACAGAGACACACAGAGACACAGAGACACACAGAGACACAGAGACACACAGCAGAGACACACAGACACAGACACACAGACACACAGACACACAGACACACAGACACACAGACACACAGACACACAGACACACAGACACACAGACACACAGACACACAGACACACAGACACACAGACACACAGACACACAGACACACAGACACACAGACACACAGACACACAGACACACAGACACACAGACACACAGACACACAGACAGACACACAGACACAGACACACAGACACACAGACACACAGACACACAGACACACAGACACACAGACACACAGACACACAGACACACAGACACACAGACACACAGACACACGGACACAGAGACACAGAGACACACAGACACACAGACACAGACACAGAGACACAGACACACAGAGACACAGAGACACAGACACACAGACACACAGGCACAGACACAGACACAGACACACACACACACACAGTGTCAAGGGCCCTGTTGGTGACCTAGAACAAGGCACACCACCAAAAAGGGGGTGCCCTCAAAAAAGACGCACCCAAGCGACAAACCTTGAGGAGGCCCTTTTGACACATACCCAACTCAGCTGCATCTCTGCACGCGGATCCCCGGTCCAGAAGTGTTGCGAGAGATGCAGCGAAGACGAACACGCAAAGGGGTTTAGAAGACGTGGTGGCTTTCACATGGCTGTGGCTCAAAAACGTGCACCAAAATGGCACCTGTAGATGGAACCAAAGACTAAAACATGCGTAACCCTGGCTCTTTAATTTTGAGCCACACCCACATGTTGGGGAAACAGCGCAGACCTTTTGCCTCAGAATGGCGAGTTTGCGTTTCGCTGTGATTGGTGCTGTCACAGCTTGTGTTGAAGTTGTTTCTTGATGCTTGTGCTTTCGGATGATTGAGCGACTCCAGCAATTGGTGCCCAAAATTCATCTTTCTAAATTG